TTCGAAAGACATGGCTTACTCAAGTTCAGGGTTTGTGCTGAGTAAAAGAAACACACAAACTCCAGTCAACATGTGCAGCAACCGCTACAGCTGACACACATATCAGGTACCGCATAATCTACAATCTTCAAATTCATGTTGTATGTCTATTGGGCAATTAAATTCATGTTGTAACCAGATTGCAATGGATGTGGTGGAAGCGCATTGCTGCGAGTCCGCCACAGAAGGCGACGACTTTGACGCCCAGTGCGCCTGTTTCTGCATTAGTTGAAGCTGCAAAGAACCGCCTCCCTAGACTGCCCCAAACTGTTGGCCGATTGCTTAGTCGAGGTGTCTCTCACGGATAGCAGTTCAAGACTTTGACCTTAGGTGTGGTGCGCATTGCTGGGACTGATGTCACTGTCTACACTTCTGGCAGTGCTCAATCTGAGTGGGTCGCTGCTCAGGCGAAACTATTCACCAAACAAGAACAACATTCATTTTTTGCAATTGTTCAAGTTTGCGGTTGAGACAGTCATTCGATTTTTTCTATGGTCCATAAGTCGTTGGAGGCAGTGATGCCGTTCATGCGAACGAAAGCGCCTAAGAAAGCCAAAGAGACATTGACGAAGTCATCTGAGATGATACTGGATTTTCACAGGGCTATGTGGCCTGGAATTGAGGTGTTGCTGCGGAAGTCAAAGCACTGTCACGGCGGCGTACTTCAAAGAAGTGATGCCCCAACCTGCTGGCTTCAGCACAAAACGATTCCCACATCCGTATTTGTTGCCTTCATCGTGTTTGCGGTCCACTGCAAGTTCAGGCAGGTTCGGGATCGGAGTTTTGCTTCTGCGTCATTTGGTCAACTGCTATCGGCGATGGCCCAGCAAATCGAACATTTCAACATCGACCATGATCGTGTTGGTGATGGCAAACGCGTGATTCTTTCGGTGGATGGCGCTGGCAATGTCGAGGGAACACTTTTCTGGACAATCGATTTTTATCGTCAGAACTTGTGGGGCTTTTGGTCCGAAGATGCCAGAAACGAAGAGAAAACATGGATACTCCACAACAATGGTCTTGGAAAGCGGCCGCTGGTTGAAATTTTGATGTTTTGCCTCGACCCGCAGCACCCCAAACGTGTTCAAGATGTTCTGCTGGGACCCTGTTTCAACATCCTGACATGGCTGGCTGACTACCTAGACCGGTCGGTCTTGGATCTCCGCCGGGACTTTATACAATTCCGAGCTGCAGACTACTGGGTCAAGAACAAGAAGAAACACAGGAAGACTATAAGCGCGGTGCTTGTTGAGCAGGTTGCAAACACTTTGTGGCTGGGTCGGGAGGGTGCAGATTCAGAGGATACTTGCGGCAAAGCTAGCAATACTACTTGTCAGGTCAACAATTTTGCTTGAAACACGTGCCTTCCTTTATCATAAATTATATGTTAAGTTAGTGTTTAAAGTGACTGGGGACCCTGTCTGTTTGTTTGTTTGTTTGTTTGTTTGTTTGTTTGTTTGTTTGTCGTTTTTTCTTTCTTTTGTTCTTTCTTTCTATATTTCTTTCTTTCTTTCTTTCTTCCTTCCTTTCTTTCTTTCTTTGCTTCTCTTTTTCTTTCTTTTTCTCTCTCGCTCTCGCTCTCGCTCTCGCTCTCTCTCTGTCTCTCTCTCTCTCTCTCACTCTCCCTGTCTCTCTCCCCGTCCCAGGATCGCTTTCTCAGCAATGTCATCGCCAAGCTTGACCGTGCTTACCGATCAATGGCGCCAGTGCAGGTGTACATGCCTGCCACAGCTGGAATCTCAGAACCGCAGTCACAGACAGTCAGTCAGCCAGGAATGATCCCAAACATCCAGCCAAGCCGTTTGGAATTCCAGCACTGGCTGACTGGCTGACTGGCTGACCGCCAGTGACTTGTTCATGCTGTGAGACTTGCTGAGTTTGTCTACTTCTGCAACGCAGCAGTGGCCATGCAAGAGTGCAGCATTTTCCATGCCTTGGCCTAAGGAGTTCGTAGTTGAGCAAGTCCGCAATTCCCGTGTGAAAAACTAGATCCGCACGCCAATTGACTGAGATCTTCATGGATGCGAGCGCGATTGGCAAACGGCCATGCGAGCTCACCTGGATTTGGCTGCCTCAGAAGCAGCAGGGCGCATGGGCGCCGCCGCTGGCCGGGACCTTTGGACACAGAGTCGGATCACTTTCCAAGTCACGCCACGCCGCTAGAAGTCACACGTGTGCAAATGACTTCGCTTTGAGGGAGCGATACAGGCTCAAGCGATAGACTCCTTTGCTGGATGACTTCCAAAGACAAAACCGGAGAAACCCACAAGGAACTGAGCTTCATTGAGAGATTGATTGGTTGGTTGATTGGTTACCTGAGTGGCAATCGTTTGACTGACGCTTGTGCACACGCAACTCAATTCTGAACCTGGAACTCGGTCAGTCGCATGTCATTGTGTAGTGAATAGTTGTTCTCTCGATCCTTGTTTTGCAACATGACACGTGCTGATCTCGCAAGCCAGCATCAGTGCCAAAGCGCTTTCGATGGCCGCGTCGCTCCAGTCCGTCACGGACTCGGAAGCGCCGATGTGGACACAGCCTTCGCAGCTCTCTCCCAGCGCAACGCCTACCGAGGACAGGCGCAGAGAATTAGTGGAGCGCTCGTTGGCTAAATTCAATATCGACAAGTTGTCAAGAGCACAAGTGTCGCATCATCATAGCGCACACAACTCAAGGGCTTCGGTCGATCTCATTCAAAGATTACAACAAAAAGAGTGCCCCTGCTTCCAGGACATGCAGCAAGAGAGCATGCTGTCAAAAGCCGCTCGCTGTGTGCAGCTGGCGTGGAGTCGAATTTGCGAGAAAGTTGCCATAGACACGCTTGAGGAGACTGTTGTGCGCAGAAATCTCAAGCAGTCTGAAATTGAAACCAGTGTTACAGCCCTTGAGCCTGAGGGAAGCTGAAAAATCTGACTCAGTAGAAGAAAAACTGTTCAACAGTTGAACGCTGGCACTTTCCGACGATGCTTTGGCTAATGCGATTTCTTCATTGTTTCCCAAACACGCAGGACTCAGCCCTAGCCACCGTATCAACAACGTCTTCTTCTTGCACCGGCGCCTTTAGCGGGGAGATGGCGCTGGCAGTGATCGAGCGCACGGTGAACGCATCCAGGCGATTGCGCCTGCCGGTTTCTTTCAAGCCAGTTCGAGCACATGACCCTAGGGCTGCAACGAACCATGTTTAAGTTGAAACGTGGTTCCAAAGATATTTACCTTGGTGTAAAGGGATGACTAACATTTCCGGAGCGGATCCCGATTTCCCTTTACTGACATGGAAACGTTGTAGCACGAAAGGGGAGGCGCCGTGTTGTTGTTGCTGCTGCTGATTGTTGCTTGCTACATTGACTGTCGCTGCTATTGGTGAATTTGGTCTTTTGCTCCCACACATCTGTTGTTAGTTTGTTTGTTTGTCTTGGTGTTGGTGATAGTGTTGTTGTTGCGGTGCCTGCCTGAGGGAGCTGGGGATGGTGAGACCCCGCCAGGGACCCTCCCTTTGTTATTGTTGTTGATGTTGTTGTTGCGGTGCCTGCCTGAGGGAGCTGGGGATGGTGAGACCCCGCCAGGCACCCTCCCCTCCCTTTGTTGTTGTTGTTGTTGATGTTGTTGTTGCGGTGCCTGCCTGAGGGAGCTGGGGATGGTGAGACCCCGCCAGGCGCCCCCCCTCCCTTTGTCGTTGTTGTTGTTGATGTTGTTGTTGCGGTGCCTGCCTGAGGGAGCTGGGGATGGTGAGACCCCGCCAGGCACCCTCCCTTTGTTGTTGTTGTTGTTGTTGTTGTTGTTGTTGTTGTTGTTGTTGTTGTTGTTGTTGTTGTTGTTGATGTTGTTGCTGTTGCTGCTGCTGAGCTGCTGTTGCACTCTGGTGTTCTGGTTTTTGCTGGCGCTGTTTGTGACTGCTGTTACTGTCGCTGTTGACGTGAATGTTGTCGCTGATGTGTTGCTGCTGTTGTTTGTCGTTGCGGCGTTCTTTCTGTTGCGATGGTGTTGGTGGCGGTTTTAGAAGAGGTTGCGATGCACACACTCACCCCCACACACAGCTGATTCGCAAAAGTACACGGGTGTGTCCTGAAGTACGTCCTTCGCAAAACTTAGTAATATTCTTGCATCCTTCTATTTCCCTCCAGAACCGCCCCAAAAAGAGTACCTTCACAATGTCACAAATGTTATAAAGCCCCCCCCCCCCCCACATGCATTCACTCAATTTAGCTTCGGCTAATGAGCAGACCTTCTCTCTTAAAACTAGAGTGCCATGTTTCTGCCTGAAGCTGTAGACTCAGCCCCCTCATGTCGCTCAAGACCATCAATAAACTAACAAACTAACAAGAACAAGAACAACCACACCATCATCAACAACAGCTACGACTGTGCTGTCACAACACAGCAACAACAACAACGAAAACAACAACAACAACAACAACAACAACAACAACAACAACAACAACAACAACAACAACAACAACAACAACAACAACAACAACGAAAACAACAACGTAAACAACAACAGCAACAGCAACAGCAACAGCAACAGCAACAGCAACAGCAACAGCAACAGCAACAGCAACAGCAACAGCAACAGCAACAGCAACAGCAACAGCAACAGCAACAGCAACAGCAACAGCAACAGCAACAGCAACAGCAACAGCAACAGCAACAACAACAGCAACAGCAACAGCAACAGCAACAGCAACAACAACAACAGCAGCAGCAACAACAACGACGCCTGTAACAACCAACAACAATAACAACAACCAATAATAAGCACAACAGCAACAACACCAGCAGCAACAAGAACAGCAGAACGAGCAGCAGCAGCAGCAAACATCAGGCAGAACGGACACAACAGCAGCAACAATAGCAACAGTAACAATGAACAACGACAACGACAACAACAACAACAACAACAACAACAACAACAACAGCAACAGCAACAGCAACAGCAACAGCAACAGCAACAGCAACAGCAACAGCAACAGCAACAGCAACAGCAACAACACCAACAGCAACAGCAACAGCAACAGCAACAGCAGCAGCAGCTCAACAGCAACAGCAACCGCAACAGCGACAGCAGCAGCAAAAGCAACAGCAGCAGCAACAGTAACAAAAGCAGCGGCGGCAACAGCGAACAAGAACAAGAACAAGAACTACTGTTACTACTATGACGACAACATCAACCACCGCAACAACAACAACAACAACAACAGCAGCAACAACAACAACAACGACAACAACAACAGCAGCAGCAACAGCAACCAGTAACCGCCATGAACAACCCACAACAATGTAACAACAAAAACAATTAACAACCAACCACCATAACGTCAACAACAACCACGCGCAGAGCAGCAGCAGCAACAACAACAACGACAACAACAACAGCAACAGCAACAGCAACAACAACAACAACAACAAGAACAACAACAACAAGAGCCACAACAACAACAACAACCACAACAACCACAACAACCACAACCACCACAACAACCACAACCACCACAACCACCACTCACAACCGCAACCACAACCACAAAAAGAGCCACAGCCACAACGACAACAAACACAGCAACGGAGCATAAGGAGCTCGTCATTTGAGCAGTCTGTTGCCTAGTTGGGGGTGATGCGTGTCGTTTGCCGAGTCGATTTAAGGAAACCATGGCCCATGTGAAATCTTGGAGTTTCAGACTCACAGCAAGGAAATTGACGAGACCTGTCGACAATTGATTGTCGATCATGTGCACTGGTGCAACGCTGCCCTGGACACATTCAGATCCCCGCCTTGCCTTCATGGAGACTTGCTGGGCATCATGCCTGCAGGGAGTTTTGACCCAACCAGCAGCTACATGGAACGGGCGCACGCAATCAACAGAGCACCTTTGTGTGTGAACCAATACTGCTTTGCTCACAGCAAGGAATGCCCTGTATTTGGGCCTGCAGCGCGCAAAAGCCAGTATGACATATCAGGTCTTCCATGCCCTGACATGTCGCCAGCTGGTTTGCGAAAAATGTCGGAGGGGGCCACCTCTTCGGTGTTTGCTGCGCACGCGAAGATGCACGTTCAGAACCGAACGCCGCTCCTGGTCATCGAGAATGTGCCGGACCGCCTAAAAAGCGACGGGTAAAGTCTGCTTTAAAAGCGAGCGCATGACTGTTTAAAAAGAGGTTTCAGTAGCATGAAAGAGAGACTTTGCCTAACACCGCGCAGCCGCAGGAGCTATCGGTGCCGCTCATCCAGCACTTGTATGGGCGACACTACAATATAAGGCAGTTGTTTGCCTGTCCTACAGACCAAGGGCACGCAGGGGTTGCAAGAGACCGCACGTACCTCGCGCTGTCGCTCAAAGGCATTGCCTATGAAGCGGTTGATGTCGAAGCGCTGTACGAGTCGGTCAGCAAGTACATCCGCGCAAGAGTGGCAACACGACCGAGGGACTACGTGGTCAGCAACAACCGGGACCGGCTCGCTGAGGCGCAAAGAACTGCGTTGACTCGACATATCTCCTTGCGACCGGTCACTCAGCTGTTGATTGGCACCGGCTGCCAGTTGGTAATTCCATTCGGAATCAAGATCAGTTTGTTCTGCTGACATTTGATACATACTTCACCTGGCAGCGCATTGCAAAACCTGCGCAGCGCAGCAATTAGCTAGCCAAGGGGTTCCGGGATTCCTTAAACAGTACCCTTTGACGAACCAACGGTTTGACACATAACTAGCGTTGTCCATGTGAATATTGCTGTCTGACATTGGTTGGAGAGCGGTCGCTGCAACCTAGCGCTCAACCTACGTGTCATGTTTCTCGTTTAGGTGAACAATCGGTCGCTCGAGTGTTGTTACATTGCTGGCGAGTGTGAGCCAAGATCAAACCCGGGAAGCCGTACTCCATGCGCTACCTCCTCAACGACCGAGAGGCCAGAGCCTTGAGGGTTGTGTGCAGGTCATTTTACAAAAAGACGAAGCGCCGGGCAGACCAGTCTTTGGACCTGTTTGTCTATCTGGGAGACGACCCGTCGAAGAGGCTTTGCTGGTCGGCCACATCTGGAAGGTTGCCGACATTCAGGACTGGGAGTGGTCGCATGTACCATCCGGCGTCCGACACCTGGATGACGCCGAAAGACAAACTCACCGCTCTCGGCTTCCCAACCACTCCTGAAACCGCCATAGCGATGGGAGTGCCCATTCTGCCAGTGGCAGATGTCAGAAGGGCTGCTTCCATAGCCGGAAACTCGTTTCACTTTTCAACTGCAGCCGTAGTTCAGCTCTGCGTTCTCAGCAGTTTTAAGGTGGTGCTGAACGCTTGAACAGGCTGGCTGGCGCTCAATAAGTTTTCTTGTGGATGTTTTGCTAGCTCAACGTTGGAATAGGTCCCTCTAGCGATATCTGACCCGTAATGCAACAAGTTTAAGCAGTGTTTAAGGCTGGGCCGCGTTTTCGAGCACAGACACTTATGAGTCAAATTCGAATCTAGCAAACGCTCCGCCATCCAGACACACAGCTGGGTGAAAGTGCCAGTGCGCTGTGACCCTGTTTGCTGTTGTTCAAGTTGTTAAGCCAAACTTTGCAAATGCTCACATCAATCTATTTGACTGCAAATATATGAATGTCACACAATGCTTGTTTGAGCACACAGCTGAACTCTCTTTCATGTCCTGCCTTCAAGCTTTCCAGCAGATTGCCCTGCAACTTGACCACCTTGTGCTCCGTAGCAGCGCCTGGCAACCATGGGTCGGCGGGGTGAGAAACGGAGTCGCCGACGGAGCCCGAGCTCCAGCTCCCGGGAGCGGGGAAGATCCAGAACTAAGAAAACCATGAAGAGGGAGGAGATGGTTTCGCTCTTCGAGGATAGCGAATCGGGTGAGTCTGCCATGCAGCTTACAGCTAAACCACCACAAGTTTCCATACTTACCTTGCAACAAAGTGTGAACTCAGCGCGAATTTCTTGATATTTATGGTAAGACTTCAAGAAGGTTTTTGATTTCACGCTCAAGTAAGTAAGGTTCCCTGGTGGATTGAACCTCAATCCTGAGAAGCCCAGCCGCAGCACGGGGACGCAGCGCAAGGGAAAGGCCAAGTCAAAGGCGTCTGCAAAGGCAGGCAGCGCAAGCGGCCGTCGCATTGAGACGGAGCACTACAACGGTCAGACGACGTACAAGGACTTTGTTGACAGGGCCTCAGCGGTTACCTTCAGATCACTCGCCAAACACCAGCGTCACCTTTCTAACTTTCTGAGGCCATCAACAAAGGAACAGAGAGTTGTTGGTAACACAAATCACGGCCAAACAGACTTTAATCCATGTCAATCAGTGCCGCTCACTCAGGATTGCCATCTCCTGGACTGGCTGGAGAGTGCGGACCCCACATGGCTTCAAAGAGACGTCTTTAAGGGCGCCCGCCGAGCCAAGCTCTTCTCCGCCCTGGCGTTCAACTTTGGCTGGCTGCCAAGCGATCTCAAGTTGTCGTTTCTTGGCTAAAGAGAAAACTGAACCAGTGCCTTTGACTGAACCCAACCGAACACGGAGTTGCGCATGAAACCTGGCAAATTCCTTGCCCCCCCCCCCCACTAGTGTTTGATGAGCTCCAACTTCGTAGTTGCGTGTTCTCAGTGTCATTGAGATGACGCCCAACCATAATCTGAGAATCTACACGACTGTGGTTTCTTTTCGTTTGTGGGAGAATCAAAATAGACCTTGTTGTCTCATCTGGGTGCCAGACTCAGACCCTGCAGGGATCTGAAGAGTGAGGTGCAGAAAGGTGCTGCGTCGCAGTACGAACGGCGCAACAGGCCAGCAGCCCACACGGGGTGGGGCCCCGACGAGATGCACGCCTACACAAAGTACCAACTTCGGCAGTTTGCCCAGAACAAGCTGAAGCGCCGCGCCATCGGAGGCTATAGCTGGCTTTTGCCAGCGAAGAGCTCAACCGGTGAGCCCGCGCCGTTGCCGGATGAAGTGTTGAAGATGGAGAGCAAAGCAAGCGGCTCCAAGCCTAAGCGCGACAAGGCTAAGAGGGAGAGGTCCGACAGCAGTGAGTGTGGCTCACAGAGCTCCAAGTCAAATTGTGAGGCCAAATCCCGCGACTCCAAGCACAAGCGTGACCGTTCACAGCGCGCTGACCGCACCAAAATGTCTAAGAGAGAGCGGCAGGACAAGGCCAGCGAGAGCGACAGCAGTGAGCAACCTCAGGAGAAGAAGCGCAGCCGGCGTGACCGTGACACTGGGAAGCGGAAGAAGCGTGCACAGACCGACTCCCAATCCCCAGCCCAGAGCAGCTCCGAGTCGGCCCACCCCGCCTCAACCACGACCAAGACAACGCCCAGGGTCGCCGGCTCTCCTAAGATGCTGAAGGGCATGCAGAAGCAAGGCAGGAAACAAGAGTTTAACAATATTCGTACTCCTGCATCAGTTCTCAGTTTGCCTAGTTTGCCTTCTGGCTCATGTGATCGAAAGTGGCATTTTCTCTTGCGCCCCGAATTGTTGGAACGCCCCCCGACTCTTTAAGCAAGGAGTTTCCCTGCCGTCTGTAAGACCCTGTCGCTGTTGCAGCTGTCGGTCACAAGCACTGCGGCAGCCCTTTGCAGGACACTGCGCATGAGAAAACTAAAAAAAACGCGCTCAGAGGGACACAGGAGTGAACCAACACCAATCGACTCTTTGAACCCTTGTTTGTTTTGCCCCCCCCATTTACAATTTGGTTTGCCCCAACGAGCCAACATGCGCTCAAGATGTATGTTGAATTCACAGAACCCAGCAAAGTTTGCCCACCATTTCGTTCAATCCAGCTACGGACAGGGGTGCCTAAGGCAAAACTGATGACCCAAAGTCAACTAATTTAGAAACATTCTCCCTTTCAATGGTTGATGGGTGACCGGGCACAAACAGATGGCCACCGCTGCTGTTGCAGGCAATGTTGACCAACCTGTTCTTCAAGCCCCCGTAGATGAGGTTCCCGACGACGATGAGGTGGGGTCCCTCTTTTCCGATGATGACCCCCAAGCGGACGAGTCGCCAAAGATTGAGCAAGTCTCGGATGGCAACTCAGCCCTGGTTTCGAAAAGGGACGGCAAAATGCTGGTCTTGCCTTCCAACGAGTCGTGGAAGCTTGCCAAATCGGTTACATCGTAAGCTTGCGCTTTTGGCAAACACTGTGATGTTTATCAATCCAAAAAAAAACACCTGGCAAGTCAACTGGCAGTTTGGGCCACCCAGGAAAATCTGCAAGGTTGCCGACAAGAACGGGACCACTTGGCTTTTGCAGTGCCAGTCGGACCCCAAGAAGTACCCCCCTCGGAGCGTTGCAAAGGCATTGCAAAGCAGCCGCGCCAAGGGACTTGCAGAAGTAACGCACTTCAGCTTAGCGAAGTTTATTTTCACCCGTTTCCAATGAGTTGTTTTGAGCTAGTCGCTTACCCACTGACCCAAAACAATACTTTGCTAAAATATTGAACATCAACTTGCAGCTAGCTACCCGCCCAGACCCCAGGTCAAGTGCCCAGCCTGCGAGCAAGATGGCTCCAAGCACTTCCACGCCCGCCGCGGGCGAAGTGCCTTGCAAGGAGAAGGGTGAAGAGCCCAAGCCTGAAGAGGCTGCGGCAGTTGAGGAACCAGGGAATCAACAGAAACAGGGCGACGACAACCTGGACAAGACCTTGGAGATTGACTTGAACAAGGCTCCGGACAAGATCTCGGAGGCTAAACAGGACAAGATCTCGGATACTCATGCTGACAAGACCTTGGAGGCTGCCGGTCTGGGAGCTGCTTCTGATAAGACCGCGCCTCTGGCCAAGACTACAGCGACCAAAGCAGACGAGACCAAGCCGAAGGCCTCCAATAAACCTATTAGAACCAAATTGAAGAAGGGGGACATTGACACGCTGCTTCCATGAGCCACTTGAGTGATCCAAAGCGCAGCCTTCTGAGCATATGTTGGCCCCTATGTTGACCGTGTTTTGAGCAAAACTAGCCAACATCAAGCCAATGTGAGCTCGCTCCCCATCAGTTCAAAAATAAGGCCCAAATAAGGCCCAAATAAGGCCCAAATAAGGTCCAAATAACGGCAACCCCCAACGGTATTTGCAGATTTCAGAAAATAAGGCCCAAATAAGGCCCAAATAAGGTCCAAATAAGACCCAAATAAGGCCCAAATAAGGGCAACCCCCAACGGTATTTGAAGATTTCAGAAAATAAGGCCCAAATAAGGCCCAAATAAGGCCCAAATAAGGTCCAAATAAGGGCAACCCCCAACGGTATTTGCAGATTTCAGAAAATAAGGCCCAAATAAGGCCCAAATAAGGTCCAAATAAGACCCAAATAAGGGCCAAATAAGGGCAACCCCCAACGGTATTTGCAATATATGGCCAACACAAAACAACCAGCATGGGTTTAACTTTGCGTCTGACTTTAGGAGGGTTTTAATCTCAACCCCAACATTCTGTTGCAATGCGTGTTCGGTGGACAGGTTGCTTGACTGCCTGTTGACTGAGTGACTAAGTGACAGACAAGTATACGGTTTGAAGGATTAAATGTTGGCTTTGTTCATTGGTTGGCCATGCATTCCATCATACCGGATTTTGCCTGACAGCAAATCAGCGGACTTTATTTTGGTCGCGAAGGCGCTTCGGGAAAACCGCTTGCAAATCTCCTGCCTGCTGAGTTCTGCGACTTGTTGGCGTAGCTGGTTGATTGAAAAGATTGCTACGTGGCTTCAGATGGATTGCGCTTGGGTTTTTTTGAATGCTCCAGGCTTGATTTGTTTGATTGGGTGGGTGGGTGAGTGGGTGGGTGCGTGGGTTGGTTGGTTGGTTGGTTGGTTGGTTGGTCGGTTGGTTGATTCGTTGGTTGGTTGGTTGGTTTTGTTGATTGATTGACTGACTGACCGATTGATTGATTGGTTGGTTGACAGAGGGGTTTGCTTGATTGATTGACTGATTGATTAATTGATTGATTGATTGATTGATTGATTGATTGATTGATGGATTGATTGATTGATTGACTGATTGAATTGGTGAATTGCTTGCTGGATGTGGTTTGATTTGGTTTCATTCGATTGATCGCTTGGTTGATTGATTGATTGATTGATTGATTGATTGATTGGTTTGATTGATTGATTGATTGATTGAATTGATTGGTTTGATTGATTGATTGGTTGATTGATTGATTGATTGATTGATTGATTGACGGATTGATTGACGGATTGATTGACTGATTGATCGATTGGTTGGTTGGTTGGTTGGTTGATTGATTGATGGACCGACCGACCGACTGCCTGCTTGATTGGTTGGTTAGTTAGTTATCAGCTGGTTGGTTCGTTGGTTGGTTGCTTGATTGGTTGATTGACTTGCTCTCTGATGGCTGGTTGGCCCATTTACTGCTTGATTGATGGTTGATGGGAGGCTGGTTGCTGTAGCGCTTGATTGTTTGATTCCCTGATTGTTGATTGACGATTGTAACTGCCTGATTGGTTGCTGGGTCCGTTGGCGAGGTGAATGATTGCTTGATTGATCTGAATAGCTTTGCTTTCGCTTGAGCTGAGCTGATTTGATTTTTGTAGTTTAGTTGATTGCTGATGAATTAATTTGTTGATTGGTTGGTTGATTGACTTACTGGTTGAATATTAATTGCAAAAAATGGAAATTGTTCAGGAAGAGCAGAGAATGAACGGATTGGTTGTTTGATTGATGGATTGATTGACTGACTGATTGGCAGACTGCTTGCTTGATTGATTGGTTGAATGACTGACTGACTGCCTGACGGACTGCCGGAAAGGCTGATTGAACGATTGCGCGACGTGGCTGCTTGATTGACAAGATAGCTAAATAGACACCTTAAGTAAAAACAGCTAGATAGATTCTGTGATTGCCTGAACGAATGGTGGATGGCTTGACCTGAGTGCTTGATGTGGTTGATATTGGCTGTTTGGTTGCTTAGTTGGCTGGTGGCTTGGTTGGTTGGTTGGTTGGTTGGCTGGTTGGTTGGTTGATTGATTGGTTGTTTGGTTGCTGATTGGCTGGTTGATTGGTTGGTTGATTTACATGACTCAGTGACTGGTTCTGCTTGCCGGATTGATTGCTTGGTTGATTGATTGATTGATTGATTGATTGATTGACTGACTGACTGATTGGTTGATTGCCTGACTGACTGACTGATTGATTGATTGGTTGTTTGATTCATTAATTGATTGCTTGATTGGTTGATTGATTGATTGTTTGATTGATTGATTGATTGCTTGATTGGTTGATTGATTGATTGATTGATTGGTTCATTGTTTGATTTTGTTTGGTTGATTGGTTGCTTAATTGGTTGGTTGATTGATTGATTGATTGATTGATTGATTGATTGGTTGATTGACTGATTGAATGCTTGAATGGTTGAATGATTTTTGGTTGACTGATTGATTGATTGGTCGGTTGATTGATTGATTGGTTGATTGGTTGACTGGTTGATTGATTGGTTGATTGATTGATTGATCGATCGATTGATTGATTGTCGATTGATTGATTGATTGGTTGATTAATTAATTGGTTGGTTGATTGATCGGTTGATTGTCTGAGTGATTGATTGGTTGGTTGATTTTTTTTATTGATCGATCGATTGGTTGCTTGATTGGTTGGTTGGTTCGGTTCGAGTTGGTGTGATTTGCCTGATTCACCGACGGATTGGTTGATTGCTTGCTGGATTGGTGTGTTTTTGATGGGTTGTTTGGGTTGGATTGACATTGGAATGATTGATTGGCTGGTTTGATTGAGTTAGTGAGTGATTGACTGATTGACTGATGGATTGTTTGATTGATTGCTGGCTGACTGACTGGCTGACTGATTGACTGGGACGGACGTTTGGTTGGTTGGTCTACGCGTTGTGATGTAGTGTTTGGTTGCCTGGCTGAGTGGTTGACAGATTCCCTGACTGCTTGCTTGTCGGTTGTTCGGTCGAAGTTGGACTAGGTGTTCAGGTTGGAGGCCGTTAGCTTGCGAGGCTTCAGGGGTGTGAAGCTTTTGCCTGTTCGCTATTTCAGCTACATTATTGCAATAGGGCCCCCCTGAATTCCTAAAGCAATCGTGTTTTCAAAACACGACCTTTTCTTACGAAAGACTGGTGCGCTCAGAGAGGAAGTCTTAGATGAACCAGTCGAAGGCCAATCAAATCCAGTGAGACAGCCCTGCAGGCAACTGCTAAGGTCTGCGCTTGGGTTTTAACTTGATGGTCAAAAATAACAGCGGAATCTTGGCAAGCAGTAATAAGGGTGGGGCTGCATGGATGTTGAGTGAACGGCCTGTCAACGGCGGCGTGGCGCCGTCAGTCAGCTCAGCAGCTCACCTCGCATGAGCCAATGTCAGCTCAAATCGAAATTATGTGTGAAGTGTCTGGGTTTGATCTGCACTGGGCCCATGTTAGCCGTGGCTGCGGGAGCTGTTTTACAGTGACTTGAGGAAGCCCTGAGGTAATTCTGTTTTGTGGTTTCGTACTCGAACAGCTCAGTTAAATCAAAGCAAACAGCTGTTTTA